ATATCTACTGCGCGGACTGTATCGTAAAAGTAGTAAAACAAAGAATTTTGCAAGGTCAGGACATTAGCAGAAATTAGCGGCTATTGCCTAAACGGAAATTATTGTCAAAATTCTTGCTCGGTGATTTGACGTGATATATCGCCGTTTATGTTTTACGTTAAATGTTTTCACTAACACGCATCGGAATCAACTTGCACGAACACGATTTCAATGTATGCTAAAATGGAACAGCGTGACATCGGTAACTGTTCACCAAAATTATCAGCACATCACGGATCGCGTGGAATTTTGCGGTTCGATCGGTAGCATCGGAACCGCGAGACAGCGGCTAATTCCTCGTTTACTCGCAATCGAAATTTTTCGCAGTTTATCGGCACGCTACAGTTATTCGTACCAGTATACAGCGTGTCTCATATTTATCGCGCGATTTCATCTACAAATTTCATTTTATAAATTCTTTTTTCAAAAATATCGAGGCACCAATAATTTATGCGACCATAAATATTTTAAAGAATTTATTTTCAAATTATAAAATTTCCTTCTGTGTATTTTAATAAAACTAATATTTAAAAATTGCTTATATTGTAATATTATACATTTGATTAAATTCTCACTCAAAAATAGTAACTTTTAATTGATAAAAATTTTCCTTTTTTTCGAAAGCATCTGGAAACGCCCTGTATACCGCATAACGTGTAGCTGACATCGACCGCTCCACGGTACGATGTCCCGAATCCATATTCCGTGCCAGGATGCACCTGCCTGTCCGACAAATCGCTAAAGTTATTCCGCGGTAAAGCGCAATTTAAGCTTTCATTAGAGGGAATCTGCGGTGGACAGAAGGCGAGGCTACGAAGAAGTAATCGCAATAAAGCTCGGGAAGAGAAATTTACTCGAATTCCTATCTACATCGTGCACAGAGAAAGTGCACCTCTTCCCGCTTTCATACAATTGGATCGCTTTGACTGATATTGTCACCGCGGTATTACTTATCTTTGCCGGATATCACATTGTGTCTCGTTAACTGAATAATTGAGAAGCGGAAGCAGCAGAACTGAAGTAATTGAATTGCGGTATATTTACACATAAATATAAAATTTGAATATAGAAAGTAATTAAAGAACACCACTTAAAATGCAATTATTCAAAAAGTTGAAATAAAAAGTCATTGAAATTTTATATAAATAAATCTTGTCTTGAAAAATAAAAATTGCTCAAGAAATAAAGTGCTTCATTCAGGGATCCAAGGTAAGTAATGACGTATAGAAATAAAAGGCAGATAAAAGCAAGATAACGAACTGCGTGAAGAATAGAAATTGCTGATATTGCCGGCGGCAGTTGATTTCATATTTTACAATAAAAGTAATATGTTTTAATGCGCGCGTTACCTCACGCAACTTTCTCAAACGAGGTGATCGATAGATATAAGCGTACTCGCGTACACGCATGTACGCGAAGTGAGTGAGTCACGCCGAGAGACGTAACCGCCACTCGCATATAGCACAGTCTGTAATCAAATAAGATCTCCGTACAATCCAGTGAGCAGGACGAGGAGGACTGTGAAAGTGCAATCTTGCACCCCGCGTTGCCTCGAGAACTCATTGCGGTTCGAATCCGCGGGTGTGTATTACACGTAGAAATAAGCTTTTACGTAAAACTAACTGCCTAAACAGCTTCTTATAAAAAATAAATATTACAAGTTACAGACATAATCTACTCATGTACCAAACCTTTCATGCACCGTATATATTAATAATAATTTTAAAATATGATCACGTGCGGTTCTTATCTTACGTGACGAGACACATTCACTCAAAAGTTCATTCGTCTGTATCATCTACGTGAGCCAATAAGGGTCAAACTGATCAATCAGTCGAGACTGTTTCCGGCGAGTATCTCACCGAGTGTCGCCGATGTTGGTCAAACTGACCGCAATGGCGATACCGTTACTGATTTTTAGCGCGGTTAGCACGCGAGCGGACTTGCGGACTTCAGCCGCACAATACGAGCCGCAACGTAGTCTCTTGCAAATTTGATATCTACACCTTTGACTTCGAGATACTAAGGTTTGACGTTAAAGTCTAGACAATGGAAAAAATGTGGATGATAAAAAATTAAGGCTGTCAACAAGAGCCTAAACGATGAAAACATACATGCATTTTCAATTTATACTTAAATGTGCAATTATATCAAATTTCAACGGTAAAAAAAGTGATTTTAATCTGTTCTTTTTTTGCGGCAATTAGAAGTCGATTCCTACTTAGAAGATATTTATCTTAAATCAGAAAAGTAAAAAGGGGAATTAGTGGTACCCTAATTGAGTGGAGAACGCTAGTTCCATGGGAGTTAACGCGATGATAGTGCCGCGCTGCAACGCGTCCGTGAAATCCGCGTCCGACACTTCCTCGGTGTTCATGGAATTCGAGACGGTTTCGGTTAGCTCACTTCCGAGCGACGTGGAAGCCGTCGACGTCACTGTCGTGCTTCGTAGATTCTCGCCTACAATATTCACGTCGTCAAGAAAAAGTACGGAAGTAAAAGTCACAATTGACGCTTCGTCTGACGCGCGCGATTTCCCATCGTATATTTCGGATTCAAAGTTATTTGATCTTGTGTTTCATCGATTTAACATGTAGAATAGAATATACATTGCGGTCACTGAACTAGTTGATACGGACGTCACTATTTTCTTATTAGAAATAAAAAATATATTTTAAAAGTTTATCGCGCTTTACAATTTCTAAATGCCAACTAATTTGTCACAATTCATTAAAAACGCACTTTTAGATTATTAAATAAGAATACGGATTTTTTATCAATTCCGGTGCATTTTCGCAATAATTAAAATTTAAGACGAATTTACTCTGACTTCGTGCTTTCGTTTCCAAAGTTAACACATGAGCGTAAACGTTACGTGCGTGATTCTATCTCGTGAATAATCCGGCAGCGAGGGAGGTGAATTCCGTGAAGTCTTACTCGGCTCCGTTCCCTCGACATCGCGATCGAAGATGCTCGCGGAGAGCACGATAGTGTTCGTAGCGGAGGTCGAAGGTTCATCAGGGTCTTCCGAGAAATAACTGGAGAGGTCCTGGTGAGATTCGCGCGTCCTTGCAACATCCGCGAGATGATGCTCGGGTTGATAAATCGAGGTATTGCTCTTCGTTTTATTTTGTTCGTTCAATGTAGACGCTGACAAAGAAGAAAGATATCTCTTCTTCTAAGGTTTAAAAATATTTTAATTTCATCGATGTTAAATATAGCATTTTTACCACTGTCCAGATTCACGAGTTCATCGACTTTTTCAAGAACGGGTGAATGAATTTCGCGGTGATTTACGTTCTCCACTTCGGAATCGACTTCTCTCGGGTTCTTCGATTTCATAAAACGCTTCAGGGGATTACCAAAGGTGGGCAGTTTCGATCTAATCTGTGAATCGTGTTCGTTAGACGGCATTTCTTCTTATACGCGAAGTACGTGTTTTATTCCCCTCCGCCCTTTCATATTGCACAACTGATTAAGATGCTTAATTAACGTTTCATTATGACTTAATTAACATTTTCATCTGATTTGCATAATTGCCTAGCCATTCAAAACATATTATTATCCTACTGGCTATTCACAAAATCAAACGTTCCGTAATTGCAAATGCTGATAAAAGGAAAAACTCAATATTGTAAAATAAAATATCAGTAATAATTACTGTAACAAATAACATTTGAAATAAATTTATCCTTCCTTTAAAATTTCCAATTTATAGCATTTCTCCTTTTCTGTATCGAATAAATTTTATATGACAAAAATGTGCAAAATTTTATATTAATTATGTATTGTTGAACAACAAAAGTATTTATATTGCAGATTTAATTAGATTTTTCTTTGTAATTAATATTACAAAGATACGAATTATTTCGAATATTAACGACGATTAAAATTCGCAAAAAACTTGCTCCGAGACATAAATTAAGTCGATTAGAATATCTAAAATCCTATTAAAATATCTACAATTCTAATCATTCTAATCATTCTAATCATTCATCGAGATCCTAAATATTACATTCTCACCTTCTGATTTATTGTGGAAACGAGAGATGGCTTACAAGACTTTTTACGATCAAAATGAGCATGTGATATATTCTCCACGGGCGTTTGTTGCCTGCGGGTATCTGAATTCTGAGATTTCGTAGCTTCCCTGTTAGTCGCCGTATTACTCATATCTAAATCATATCGTTGATAAAGAGGAAATGAATCAACAGTACGATCTATTTACCAATTTGAACATCGTGCACTTCGCTTTCGACTCGATAGTGCATTCAATTGAGCGACTTTTGTTCATTGCTAATTATACTGCGATGCAAACTTATTAATTTTGATTACATCAAATAGATATATTCGATATACGAGAGATATAATGGAATTTAAAATTATCCAAACAAAATTACTACTTTCTCAGAATATACAATTTATAATTAAGTGTTGCAAATGTTTGCAATAACATTCTGTAAAATTTGTGCTATCTAAAATATCGTTAACTTATATTATACTTTTCTTTCGGAGACCAAAATTATATTATTTTTCTATGTAGACAAATCGACAAACGTTTCTATAATTAAAAAGATAAGTCTTTCCGAGAACAAAGTAAACCTTCTAAAACTAATATTGATTGTATATCATGAACTGTTGCGCACATGTAGCTGCTACTATAATTAAACATCATGTGGTCTCATGTTTACATAGATCTCTTACTTTGTTTTTCTTCACGAAACACATTCCTGAAGGGCGTACCGGCTACTTTTAATACATTACATGTATATAATGATCGATGCTAAGAAACTACGTAACCTCGTCGCTTTTAAATCTCGAAGGAGGAAATCGAAAATGTCGAATCTTTGCATCAAGGTCGGAGCAACGTTAATAACATCGTAAAAAAAACACATTTAACAAAACCGACAAGACAGAAGCCATTAGAGGCCATAAAAATAATTAAGATTTCATGGACTTACCTGATAGGCGTAAGAAGTGCAGGGTACGTAGAATTCTCTGCTCATAATAGACGTATCGCCTGCGGCCGACGGTGAAGTCCAGCTGACGGGTCGTCCTTCGGCAAGTGTCAAAACGCCGGTGGCGCCATCTTGGTCTCGCCCGGATGGGAGCGAGTCATCAAGCTGTCACGAGCAGGCAGGATCACCGAATCCTAATCGTGGGCGCGTAGGCCATCCCTCGTCTGCTTTTTCGGGGTTCATGCACTTCACAGCCGGATGCCCGTAGCTGCGTGACTCGCGTGTCACGCGTCACGTCACGTCGTGTTGCAATGCTTCAGGCCGTTCGCGTCAGCGTCGTCGTTGGTCGATGCACGACGACGGCGACAACGACGAGGACGATGACTACAACATCAAATCCCGCGAGCTCTTATCTCGACGCGCGCGATTCACTAAAGCACACTCGGAATACACACTGTATAAATTTCACCTAACGACGTTGCCGGGTTCGTCGGCCTGACACGATCATGGCGCACTTCAGTCGATTGTCTCCGCGGGAGAAAACAGTGCCGCGGACGCGCTTCTTACGGGATCGTTGTTCGTGAAACGCGAGACAAAACGGTAACACGCTCGATTATTACGCCATTTTCGTTACGCGCAGGACGCTCTCAATTACATCTCTCATATACTCACGATAAACTACCGTTCGCGTTCACTGCCAAGTGCCAACTGAAGATGACTGAATCACGAGAGTCGATGAGATACGATTGCTACCACAGCGCAGCCCAGCGGCGGCACCACAAAGCTTTATGTCAATCGCGTCTTGTGCGCTCTACTGATAAATGTTTTGTATAAAAATTTTGAAAATTACATATTAGTAATAAATACCTTACACACAGCCTACACGCAAGTAGTGGTCCAAGTAGAAGCTTAATGTCCGCACGAGTTTTTGCGCAACAAGGATATGTGCCGCAAACGACGCAGGTCGTGTCGGCGACGCGCGCACGAGGTGGTTGTCCGGATGAGGGATGCTTCCTCTTTTTCTCCGGTCGAATAATAATATTTCGTGGCACCAGAATCTCACCCCATGGAATTTCGACGTCATCGGACACGCAAGTTTTCTCCTCTATCGGTGGCCTTATGATTATCGGTTTTTCCAAGGCTAAATCGCTCCATGGTATTTCCACCGAAGAATCACAGATCTCTGCGTCGTCCATCTGCGTGCTTTGCAAGGTCTCTGTTATGAGCAGATCTTGCCACGGTAGTGTCATGACTGTAGATTCTCTCTTTTCGGTTTTGACGGTTTCTATTTCAGTCTCGTCTGTTTTTCGATCAATTATGGGCGTCAAAGTCGTGTCAGGACGAATGCTCATACCCGCCGCTGGCAGAGCGATGTCTCTCCAAGGTAATTCAATCTTAGAATCGCATTCTACAGACTCATTCGAGAATTCGCGGCGGAGGGTCTGCATATAGGGCTCATGCCAGATTTCTTCTTCCGGATTGTACACAAAAACTTGCCTCTTCTTCTTACAACGGTCTTTCGTTTTTTCTTTCTGCGTATAGAGCTTGACGCGGCAAGAGCACAATTGCTGGAGTTTGCTGTATTCTGTCATATCCGGTACAATTGCGAGGAATTGGATATTACACTCGTTGATTTTTTAATTTTTGTTAATTTTTCAATTACATTCTGTAAGAGTGAAATTTTGATTTAGGTTAGTTGATTGAACATAGTTACAAACAGTGAATAAAATTCATTTAGCTCTGACGGGCTATCATCTGATCAGATCTCTATGATTGCATAATCTATGATTATACCTGTAATTGTCTATATTTTTATGATATATAATAAATTTAATATATGAAAATTGTATATTCGCGTTAATTCAAGACAAATATTCATTAAAAATTATTGCCTTGTAAAATACGGATTTTAGTTTCTGAATGACAAAAAAACATGATAATATCGTTGAGACACGCTAATGTGCGTGAGTAAGCTATTTGAAGCATTCGCTTTGATGACAAGCAAGAAATAGTCAAGGTTATTTTTCTATTGCAATTTAAATGCTAATGATTGAAAATGATCGATAATCGAAGAAAATTTATTCATACTTTCCAGTTTCCACATAGTCTTTGATGTTTTTCTCATATTTCAATTTATCGTCGAAATACGTCATGTATAGCGAGATATACGAAGCACGCGTACACAAGTTGTGACAAGTCGTCCTCATCAGAATGTCATGTTGCGTCATCTATCGATGATGACGCGTACGAGGTTAAAAATTCACTGTTTGTCGATAAAAGGAAATCTGCGGTGATTGCCTGGCCCGTTGCAAGATTGAAAAGAATAAGCTACAGCACGAAGCGTTCCGGCGACGGTGAAAAGCCACGTGATAAAAACGCTACGAGTGCGTGAACCTCTCAATATCCGTCGCACGATTTTACTAACGACGCGTCGCGTGTTCACTGTGCGTTGCAACAGTGCACTTGACTAGCGCAGTCAGGCTACGTTTAGAAGACAGCCATCTTGCAATCCCTAATCAAAGATCCACGGCTAGCGGGTATCGCTGTCTGGTTTGCGGCCAGTTAGTATCAACACAGTTCGTCAAATGGCTTTAAAGCGAATTAATAAGGTACGTGAAGACCCGTCGATGTTTCATGTCGCGTCACGGCGTGGCCGACCGTTCTGTGCTATGGTACTGAATCCGGTCGTACGCCCTTTACGATTTCTCGCGGAGCTAGTGTAAATGAGCAATGTGAGCGAGCGTTGGAAATCACACCTGGCTCCTTTAGCGGCTTCCTCGCCGTTGTCGACACCGACAATCGTGCACCGGTGTGCGGAGATGGCGGCCGCGCCGTGCGCTTCGACAAGTCGCGTGAATTGTCTTTCACCACCCTGCTTCACTCGGGCTCGGCTGTGGTGACAGTAAGAACCCGGAGGGATTTTGTGTGATCCTACTCGAATAAATCGCCGGAAATAATGTAAAATTGTGCATTTATACGCTTTACGCCTGAACGCGCACCGGCTAATAGATAGTTCGGGATATTTTTCTCTTGTGCATTTTGCTGTTCTTTTGTGCCTTTACGCTGCATCTATGTATCTCATAGTGCTTATGATTACATTTTCTGTGATCTACCATAAGAGCCTCACAATGTGATTAATAAGATAAAGTGAGTCACTCAGTATAGTGCATCTCTGCAATATGAGTGCCAATGATATTTGATTTGTCATTTGCATTATTGATCACAGAATGGACTATGATACAGGATATATTGAGGACGAAGAATTCAATTTTAAGTCCAACAAGGTCATTAAATCCAGTGAGAAACTATAACTTCTACTTTATTTTGATCATCCATGGCATTTTATTGATATAATCCTATAATTGATATAATAATGGATGATATAATTCTGTATAATGATGCAATATTCTTCAATAATGTAATATCCTTTCTTATTAACATTAAGATATATAATTTTTGTTATGAAGATTATATATAAATATCGCAGATAACAAATAACTTTGTCTGGAAAATTTCTATTATTGTGGAGTGACATTTCATTTAGTTACTATATATGTAAGAATTATCTAGAAGGTTCTATTTATATATAGTCAAGTACATATTAATATTATGTTGTACACATTTTCATAAATATCAAAGTTCTTCGTAGAATAATAGTGCAATGTATTAGAATAAGTTATTGCACTAAAAGATGTATACTTATATGTAGTTAAACAGATTGTACGTATTTCTTTTTAACACAATTTTCTATTTTGTCTAACTAAAGTTTATGTTGACAATAAAATACTACGTACTCGATAACTTATAAATTCAGAGATGTTGAGAAACTTTTATACATTGTATATAAAGAAATTTATTAAAATTTGTTGTATAATTATCTATATTTATAATTTCAGGAACTTCAGGATCTCGGTAGAGATCCGCCGGCACAGTGTTCGGCTGGACCTGTAGGAGATGATTGTAAGTATTAAATCTGAATATATGAAAAATAAACATTGAAAATAATGCAATATAAATGTAATATATATGTTGTACTAACATTATAAGTTATAAATTACAGACTTAAAGCAAGAATTACTTACTTTATTTTAATTATAATATTTTTTAGATGTGCCATTCGTTACTTATACATTGTAATTATATAGAAGTAAAAATATAAGACATATTATATCATGAAAGAGATTTATTGATCTGTATATAACTTTCATCTAATATTTTTCTAGTATTCCACTGGCAAGCAACCATTATGGGACCAGTAAGTGAAACATGTTTTTGTGAAAATTTTAAGTTTTGATTGAGCATTTTATTTTCTAATAAATAAAAGCTGTTCATAGAAATTTATATGATGTACGGATCAGAATGTATTATTCAAAGTTTTAAGAACTATTTTACAATAAATTATACAAAAACTATAAAAAATAAATATATATTGATTGTAGGATATAATATATATAATAATAATTGAATATAATATATAAAATAATAATTGGACATCGAAATTTTTTTACAGCCGGACAGCCCATATCAAGGAGGAGTATTTTTCCTAACAATACATTTCCCAACAGATTATCCATTCAAACCACCTAAGGTATTTAGATAATATTTTTAATTTTACATTATAGAAGTAAGAAAAAACTAATTTTTTCATAAATAATTTTTTACTATTCATCCTTTATAGGTCGCATTCACGACTAGAATCTATCATCCTAATATCAACAGTAATGGAAGTATTTGTTTGGATATTCTAAGATCGCAGTGGTCTCCCGCACTCACTATATCAAAGGGTATGTATATTCTTTACGAGATGCATTGATAGATAGGTATTTTGTAAAAATGAGATCTTCAGCATTATTGATTATTTTTCAGTGTTATTGTCAATATGCTCCCTGCTGTGTGATCCAAATCCAGACGACCCATTGGTACCAGAGATAGCCAGGATATACAAAACTGACAGGGAGAAATATAATGAATTGGCACGTGAATGGACGCGCAAGTATGCCATGTGATGCGCCAATCTCCGTTGACTTCAACATCCAAACACCACCAAGAAACAGCCCCAGCCTATTGCCACTTATGCATCAGCACCGATTGAAATTAGCTATGGCTCGTATACTTTTAAACTTAAGCCAGTATTCGGGCTCGAGGAACCCTCAGGCAAACGTGATCGATCTGAACTTTCCGCGGCTCGGGAAGCCCACGAATATTAAGATGTTGCCACAAGGCAATCGAGGCAATTTAAAGGTGGTAACCCAGCATTATATATTGAATCAGAAAACAAAACATGTCCGCTTTGTTTTTCATAAATAAAAAAAAGGAAGTAACATATAATAGGAGAGTGAAAGTAGGATTTGTATTTAAATTTAAATAGATTCATTTCTAATTATATTGTGCTTGTAATAATTGTAACATTACGATACCTACTTTCTCAGTGGAAATGGAAACTTTGAACTGACAGCACATCGATTGTTAGTTTTAACGCAAGTGAGCAATGTTTGCCCGTCCCTTGGAACGATGTGGTCACTCTTTTGTAAGACTGGGCTATATATATATAAATATTACTGAAACTGTACGTGTATGCTTTGTTCAATCATTAAAATTCCTTACACCTAACAAATTCTACGAGTAACTCGAAATCTGTGCTTTTGGTTCCTGTGTGTGTGTGTAGTAATTTATGCATATCGTTAATCGGCAGATGACAACCATGCGACTTTAAGTAATCGGAAATATGCGCAAACGTTAGGTAAAAATCACAAATAATTGACCCATGACGTATGTACCTGCAGTTTTGCCGATCTTTAGAATTTATTATGTATTTTACCGGAATAAAGCGCGCAGATTGATCGTGTCACAAGTATTCGTAATCCTTTTCGACTGTCAGTTTTCGGCTTTACGTTGATGCGGGAAACATAGTCGTTGGTGTCACTGTTTATCGAGAAATGATATAAGGAAGCGATTAAGTTCCGATTATTTAAATTACGAACCGTGTTATATATAAATTAGCAACAAATATGTCGACAACGCGAGGAGATTGCCACTGGATTACCAAAATCCCGGCTACTCATCTCACACTATAGTGCTTGAATACACGCTATTAAATTTGTATGTCGCGTCTTGCGAATCGGGAATTCGCGCCACTCATCATTCGTCGCGACGTCAATTTACTCGCATCAATACTTTTATTACTGTTTTGCGTGCAAATGTTTCATTAAACGGCAATTTTTTTTTATTCTTTAGTTTTCGTAATCAGGTATTTTCCTTTCATCCACAATATGAACGCATACACTTGCGACACGCGACCGTACTGTCCACTGCTGGACGAACGATATAGACTTAAATAGAATCTGTTATTTAAACTTTGCGATTTCAATATTGTATTTCTGATATATTGTGGCTGTAAGGGTAAGGCGATGTGATTTCACATTATTTCTTAAAAATCTAGCTATATACAAAATGAACAAAATGTGTTGTTAAATTATGAAATGTCATTCAACGCGATAGTTCGTTTAAGATTATATGAAACTACATAATTGCACTGTTTGATGGTGCTAGCAGTGTGTTTTGGCTTCTAATCATAGATAAATAAAATCTGATACATCATAAAATACGATTACTTAATTAGTACGTAAGTAAAAACGACTTTGTCTTGCGAATCATGTAAAGCGCGCGTTAAAGCAAAGCGTCTCGATGTAATCGGTGCTTAAATATGGCAAGCTGATGGGGCGACTAAAAGAATCTAGAGAAGACAAATCGATTAGTATGTAATGCGGCGGCCCGCTCTGTTTACGCCGACCTTGTCTCATACGAAACGTGTATTTGCTGTAATTTAATTACGAACGCGTCGAATCTGGTATTTAAAAGTTATAATCCTCGAAGAGAAAATTGATCATCGTTTCACCTCTAGTAGATGATGACTATTAATGTGTATAATTATTACTATCGCAATAATGAACATTTTTAATAACTTATCTTGTGTACATTTTAGCATTAGCCCTTTATATAATAAAGTCCACATGATGATAAGGTAATATATCGAATCTTTTTTTTTTTCCTCGCGGCCGAGACCACATATCCGAGCGTGTGCACGATAAGCAAATAGAATCATGATACGTTGACAATCTCTCGTATTATGTAGTTATCATGTTTCCTGCTATGCAAGCCTCGTGTAATTGAAGAAGATTCGTGCTGCACTGTAAAAATTAAATCTTATCGAACCCACGTCGACCTCGTTCGATACTGTCTTAGTCACACGTTCGTGCATCTTTCTTAATTTTTCAATGTCAGCAGTGTAGCCGGTAAAATGTGAAAGTAACACGGAACGCAACCTATGCTTTTGAAAATTTTATTAGTCGACCCCTTTTCTCTCAGCAAAGACATTCTTCCTGCGAGAACATTTATTGAAATTATAACTCAAAATTATAAATCAAAATTAGTTTAGATAAGAACATGAGATGTATAAAATGCCTAAATGTTATAGCAATTAACTAGCAATTTGTTGCAGAAATACTAAATTAATTTAAAACAAAGAAAAGTTTAATGTAATTTGAAAGAAAAAAAGAGAGATTTACAAAGACGATTACTACAAACAATTTGCACACTATTAATAAAAACTAGACCACTTGACCACATTAATCTTATCTAATTATCATATATTATCCATATATATTGCGAACATATCGTGATATTCATAGTACGAAGGTCGTCTACGAATCGGCCAATCTTGAGTTCACGGAAAACCGGGCAGACATCGAGTGTCCGAACAGTGAAAGTATCAGCACGGTCGTCTAGAGTGCAGACGGAGGGGCAGTTGATTCCTGAGCATGTGTTCCTTATGCGGGACCTGACTGATGTTGCTGCCGCCGTTGTCGTCATTGTGGTCACCGCTACCACCGCTTTACGATTCGGTCGCGCTCACTCAGTATTCTACTCGACGCGCTCGGAGCGGTCGATTGAATCGCGACTTGATACGTGGCGGAGACTCGCACGCGCGAGAAGTACACTGATGTGCTGATAGACCCACCACGAGACGTCGATGACTCTCTGTTTCTTCGATTGTTTGAAAAACTGTCGAACGTCAGTCTTTGAGGTACGAGATCATTATTCGTTATTTGCTGTAAAAATGAAGTTTATTAATTATTTTAGTGGAAATATAAGTATATTAATGATTTGTTTGTCGATATTATCAAATGAAAAACAGATTTTGAGAAACATTAATGCTGCATAATTTTTCTGTTTTGTAATAATAGAAGAACAAGAACTTGTATTAAATGATGAATTTGCAGTGAGAAAAATTAAATATATTAAAATATTATTATATATATATATGTTTTTTAAAAATATTAAGCGAATATTCTTTAACGATAGATTTATTCTTTTATTTTTGAAATATTCTTTTATCTCTTTTATCTCTCTATAAAATTATCATATCTTTTGATAAATATCAATAATGAAAAGTTAATTACCAAGCTCTTGTTTGGGTGTTATTTGCCTATTTCTATTTATTAATCTTTGATCTTAAATAATTTTTATTTTTACACAAGTTTCGTACATATTTAAATTTACATTCTGGAACAAGGTTGATGTATGAATATTTAAATGAAATAGTGGCAAACAAACTCTGCGCCAAAACTAGCACCGAGTACACACACCTCGCTCGATGAATTCAATGTCGCTTTATTTTCGACACGGTTCTATTCATGAAAGATAATGAGACTAGTCCCTAGTAGGACTTTGTCCCACAGGAAAAAGGAAATAATTGTGACATCAATGAATGATTTAATAACTGGTGTGTTTGCGGATCACATAAGTTGACCTATCGCGTAATAATGCACGTGAATGCAACATGTGCTATCATTCTATAGCTATTCAATTTATTAGCTTCAATTTCAATTGGAGAGATTCCATGCGTACAATAGCAGTAAACAGACTAATTTAATTTTTGTATGAATCTTTTAATTAATCCAAACGGTTAAAAAATATCATGTATTACAGATATATTTAAATACATACAATTAACATTATTAATTTGAAAAATAATGTGTATTATATGTGTATCATTATGACGTTATAGAAAATACGATTGTGTTGTTCTCGTTTCTTTTTGTTAATTATTCTTAGAGTGATATGCATATACTATTGTACTCTTCTCAATGTGCTATTGTATGCTTATCTATGTGCCATTTCTTGCTTGACAATTGACACGATTTATTAGGTATCAATAAGAATAAATATATATGCGAGATGAAATCTATGAGATAAAATATCGTGAAAGTCAGTTATCATATATTTTATCATATATAAAATTTCTAATTGTATGGCTTTTTTATTAGCAATGATTTTACATGCACATTTTACACTATAAAACACACAACTTCTAAGTTGTTCATATTTATTTATTTATGTATCGTCAATATTGCGAAAGTCAGTTTAAATAGGAATTAGAAAAAATTTATATTAATAAATGCAAAAATTGACTGTGTTGTATATCTTTACATTTTTTGTGATATTACGTTTGTACGCTATATACGCACGTATCATATATTTGCATAATTTACATAAATTATTTGATCTTACAACACACACAACACACACAGTTGCTTCCAAGTAAATGATTTTAAGTTTACTTAAATCGATAGAGACAAACTGAAAATTTTATTACGTTTTAAGAAGTTCATCTTTTATCATCTTTATTATTCCTAATTTAACAGAACATCATTAATGATAAGATAAAGTGTAAGAATATACATTAAGTGTATTGGTTTTCAAGTAATTACCTTCTTACATATTTTTCAACGGATCGTAAAAATTGATAATAAATTATTACAAAAATCTTCAATGACATTGATGGATGCTGAATACTTTATTGATATTACATTGAACGTAATTGTTTGTATGAAGATGTATCAAATTTACTTTCCAACAATTATTTTTTCCAACAATTATTTTTGCATTAATCTGAAAAATATACAATGCGCTAAGAAAAATCAAGATTAAATACCGTAACGTGGAAAAGATCAACATTTCAGAATTGTACGAATGGTTACGCAGGCAAACCACCAGTTATTTCCTGCTCGTAATAGTGAAAATATAAACTATACTATCGTACTTTTCACCGAGTGTAGACATACGATACCAATACGAGATCAACGGATACCAGAGTGCCTTCGACTTTCTCGTAGATTAGACGTCGCGTGTAGAGAGAGAGTGAACAGGAATCCTCTCCTCTCACGTGTACAGATAAAAAGGCAACTAGGACACGAATCTCGGAACATGTTTTTTCGCATACTCGTAAGATTAACGCGCTGTAAGAGTCACGCACATACGTAATTTGCTTCTTCCATTTACGTGTTATTGATTAGAAATTCAAACATCGAATATATTCGATATTATATTTGTATTTGAAATATCGATATTATTTTTAATCAACTCGTTATATTTCTAAATCTAAATCGTGTTTCGTGCGGTTCTTGAAAGTTCCGCACATTTTTTTGCACAATTCTTGCAATTTTTGTCGTGTAAAGTAAGAAATATCGATAGTGCCAGCTCTTGCAATAGATGCAAGTAAATTCACTTCTATTTAGATCGTGTAAAGAAAGCATTCCACAGTTTACTGCGGTTCTTGCTTGCCTTTCATTCGTAAGAGGCAATTTCCTTTTGCGAGAAAGTTACGTGTATCTACGTCATGCGGAACAATAAACCTTTCAAATCCGACTTGTATGTTGTTGGAGTTTCATAAAAAATATAATAAAAACTGAGAACATCTTGTTCGTAAACGACAAAAAACCAAGAAGTCTGAAAATGGTATTTTTGATAAAGAAAGTAACTTAATATTTAAATAACTCGCGTTTACGGTATATTTTTGCAGATATTTAATTTTAAACGTGAAAAAGTCGTAATAATATTTGAATTTAAATATTAAATTGTGTGTAATATAAAATATCCAATTTATAGCAGAAAAGGAGCATAATTTTATCAAAATCAACTAAAATAACAGAGTAACTCTTCGAGATGTGAAAATTTCATACGTCGTACATTATCAATCTCAGTTGTTTGTTTGAATACATTTTATCGTAGTTTTAATTCTGTCACATTTCAAATAAAAATTATGCGTTGGGACAAGTTTTAATTGAAAATATTGCGGAAATGTTATTGCGTATATTTATTAAAACAAATAGTATCCAATCTCTCTCTCTCATTATATCTTTCAGGAAGCAGGTGTTGCATAAAAGGTTCTACCACGCTTGGATTTGAATGATGAAACTACTTGCGGGTGTAGAGGAGGTTAGCGACCACTGTGAAAAAGAGTCCAATAATGGCCAACTGCACAACAATAATAGTCATGAAAAGCAATCTGCGACAGAATTGGCGCAAGAAGTCAGCAAGCTGCTTGTCAACAAGGTCAGTCAACGTCCATCTTTATACACAACGGTTCCATTGCATTGCATAAGATTGTAACTAAATTCAGAGTTAATTAAGACTAATGAAGGAAAGTTTAAAAATAAATTTTAAGAGCAGGAAAAGAGGAGAACATAAAAATACATAAATATTAATGTAATCACGCGAGGTTTGGTATACTTTTTATTACAAATAACAATAATAAAAGATACTGCAGAAAACTCGCGAGCAATCAATATCTCGATTCCGGAGACGGTAGTGCATGCAGGTATATAGTTAATATGCTCCATTTCTCGTCAATCCACGTCATTTTGCTTCCGGCAAAATAAAGACACGCGACTACGACTTTCTAGGTTGCGCGATAATCTCTTTAATTTTGTATTTTTCTTTTTTCGTGCTGCAAAGACGATTAATAGGAGTTTCTCTTCACGTTTCAACGTTTTAAGACAAGTTTCGTTGGCAGCAATCGGTCGCGGTTTACTTCGCAGCAGATACGTTAAGCACTTGTGCGACTGTAAAAGCAATTAACTAATAATTTGGCAAGTACTTGTTACGGCGAAAATATAGATATCCTGAAGATTACTTCTTATTGTATGCGACGGTAATCATACTAATTGCGGTGGATAATGTTCTCATACTATCGCCGCGACGAGAATCGATTTAGCTAGCAAAAAACTTCGCGGTTATGAGAGGAAAGCAGACGATGTAAACTTGACACACTCAGATGAAAGGCAAGTCCCGTTGTGGCCTACTTACCGCATTCGCATCTTTGAAAGATGTGGTGTGACTAAAATGTATTTAGCTGCATCCGTGCATAGCACTTTACGAATTATTAGAAACGTATTTTACACGTATTGATTCTGTCTTCTTTTTCCTTCTGCAATTTATACGAATGACTTTCTGTCCTGATACGATTAATCATAGCAGGACCGTGTTCTGAAATAAAAAAATAGAACGAATAGATAATTAAATTACGTTAGTAAGTAGGTCAATCACATTATTTGCCAAACAAATTCGACTTTATTATTAGAAAAATAAACAGTTAAGTATTATATAGCTCGCTTTTCACATGGGTAATTAATCGTTTTATTAAAATATTGTGTTAGTTTGTATTTAATTAACGCACAAAGAATATAGTTAGAAAGGATAATTTCCATCTTACGGGAACTTGTATAACATATGGGCGGTATTTTCTTTCCTGATAATTACGTCAAGTTAAAAAGAAAATTCATTATGTCAGAAAGTCACATTATTTCATTGTTAGTATGGCAAGTTTACATTGTTGAAGTATGTACATGAAAGAAAGCAACGAAAGTACTTCATATTGTTCAGAATACTGAAAGTGCAATAAATGTCATTGTGATTTTTTATGTAAGACGTGTACTTATTATTGAAATCTTGTTATGTACACAATTAAATACGAGTAAAAATGAATAACATTTATAGTTAATCCGTTTCATAATGCATAAGTAATAGAATGAACAGAAAAATAAAAAAGAAGAGAAAATACAAATTTTATTTGCTAATTACAATTCTAAAGTTTGATTTAGAAAAGACTTTTTTTAAGTTATTTATCTTTCAAAAACTATGAATGTTTTAATACTTAAATGAATAGTAACTCTCTGATACGCAATATTAATCGAGAGAAACTGCGCGACTTTGATACATTTTGACAAGTTTTAGACATATTCTTTTAGACTTTTATGTTTGAATATATTGAGTATGTTTTACATTTTTTATTTTGAAACAGTCAAGCGACGATTCGGTGGCCAATGGAAAAATTACACCGGAACAAGAAGAAAAGCTGAGACAACTGCTTCCATTCGAAGAGGCGCCTCATTATCTCAAATATAATCCTTACATATTGAAGGGTTATCGAAATTCCTTAACTACAAAACTGTGCCTTGAAAGGTTGAGTTTAACATTTTTTAAATATATTTGCAACTTCAAGTCTGGAAAATATAATATATAATGGACATATACTTTGATGTGGGCGGCAGCATAAACTTCTTTACCGAAACATTTCGTGTTTTAGCATATTTTGGTGGACAAATGAGACCGTGAATATATGGAGTCACATTTTCGGCTGGATGCTCTTCTTCGGTCTGACCTTATATGATATATGTCTACTGAATATTCACGCGCCATTCAGTGATAAAATAATTGTATCCCTCTTACTTCTCTGTTTTCAGGTAAAATCGGTACAATACAATACGTAATTTGTTTAAATATTGTAAAATGAATAAGATTGTCTTTAGGTATGCATGATTCTCTCATCCGTATATCACACATTTTCGTGTCGAAGTGAAAAGGATTACTGGTGCTTTCTATCCTTCGACTTATTTGGTATCGCTTTAAGCATGTTGTCGATCTACATGTCCGGCATTTATTATGCCTTTTGGTGTCATAAGGTAAAGTTGCATTAATTTCAAATAAAAATATGATAGAATTATTTTTAATTAAATTTTCAATTTTTAATTTATATTAATGCGATCGAGAAATCAAACCAGTTTTGAATCGGTAAATTTTTTGCAGGAGCTACAGTATTTCTACTTAATAACTGTGCTCGCAATCTTCATTTTTGCAATGATACTACAAATACCTAAACTAAACATTAACGGCAACATTAAATTGGGCGTGTTTGTGGCCTGGGCGATTTATGGCGTACTGCCAACGTTGCACTGGACTGTAGCGATGGGTGGTTTAGATAATCCGATCGTCAAAATGCTCATTCCAAGAGTGATGGGAATGTATGTTATTAACGCGGTAGCGTTCGCGTTCTACATGTTTAAGATACCCGAACGTTTTTACCCAGGTAATTTGTTGTCTATGATTATCGCGTTGTTTATTGTTATTGTAATATATAGTATGAATAGTTTTAAATATGATTTTTTACAATGCTAAAACACTCACGATGTTTCAACGCAGGTTGTGTAGACTACATCGGCTCGTCGCATCAATGGTGGCACGCGTTAGTTGTGCTAGCTCTCTATTATTGGCATAACACTGGAATGCTTTATGTAGAATACAGGATGAATCATGGATGTCCGAGGAGTATGAAATTATGACATACGGATTCCGGCGACCAAACAGGTATGTGAAATAATGGTCATAATTCAACGGTTACTACCAGCGGCGATTTTGAGACCGTAAATCGCATTTAATTACTTTTTTTGTCAAGTACATGAGCACATATCTTCTTAGTCGTGCCTAAATATTAATGATATTTAAAAACTTTAATGCTAAAGAAAAAAAATATGAATTTGAAAGTCCAGATACTTTTTAAGAGCGTAGAAGTTAGAGATATTTTATATAGAGAAAGTTTCAATCAAGATTAAAAGTTATAATTTAATAAAAATTTACAATTACCTTAAATTATTACTTGCTGAAATGAGTTTGAGGTTTAAGATTGCGGATACTTTGTTACAGAATCTATCCTCGCCATGGATTGCTCTTGCATGATGAAGGATAACTGGTCGTCACAAGTTGTAGAACCACCTTTTTATGCTATTTTGAAGAGTACATATTGCGAAATTCTAAATCCATTAGAAATGTACGCGTATCGATAGTTTTGAAATATTTATTTTTAGAAAATGTATCTTGTGAAAAAGTGAGAGAGATTTTTGAATGGAGAAAAACTCATTGTAGATATAATTTGCAATGTTTTGCAGCTTTATTTATTCGACATCACTATTTATATCTGTTTTGCGAAGTATTATCTTAAACATTGTTTTTTTGATCCTGGTCATTAATTCTAATAGAATTCAAAAGAATTAATAATTATTAATAATAATTAATAATTATTCGGTCATTAAATTTATATTTTTTTATTGAATTTTGGATTAATAATGAATTAAATGGTATGACACACATATAAAATTTTTTCTATATTTAGAGAAAAATTGAATTAATTAGATTCATGTGTATGAAAAAAATTCTAAACAAACTTAAAAAAATTATTACAATTATAAATACAAACGATAGAATATTTTCTAGTTCTCTTTTCCGTTAAACATAATTTTTAATTCTTCTAGGTATAAATAATTATTTAAATTGTTTATATTACATTTGAATTGAATCATAACTTCGATCATTTGATTGAAGGAGATCGATGTCTTTCAAGAATAGTTTGATGTAGACCAAGTTTATATTTTAACTTTTTGTGCGATACTTTTTCATATACAATAGTAGAAATACTGGATATGGGTTTATTTGATATAAAAATATAAATCTTTTCTTTACCATTTTTTTATGAAAAGTCATCGATATCAAAGGTGACACATTAACGAAACATCGCCGATTTGCGCGGTGCGACATTGACGGTCGCTTTTGCAACGCGGCCAAAGTCGAGTTGTTATGTAACTTAGGAGACTGTCATTAAACTCTTGGCGCATACTTATATCGCACATTTTGCAACTTGCACGTGTACAATAAATGAAAAATATATGAACAATAAATGAACATATACCAAGCACAACGATAACGTAAGGATACAATATGTAGTTCTATATGACTGATTCCTGCACAACTGTCGCGTTTTAAAGTGGTCTTTTTCCATATTGCATTTATATATATATATAAATAAGTATAATATACAAATAATTAGGTGGTAATAGTTGTGTGTGTAAAAACAATGTTGTTTCCTAAATTGTTAAATAAGAGAAATAAATATTTTATTTATAAATATTATAACAATAAAATTATATTTTTTTATTATATTAATTATTATTCCATCACAAGACGGTATTGCTTATCATTGCTTATCAATTTCAACACGTCATTTATTGTAATATTTGTTGCAAATCGTAATTTACGTATATACTTTTCGTTGCGGATTATACGAATTGTTGCGAAAAGTTTGCTGTATTTGCTCTAAATAATACAGAAGCTATAAGTTCTGATAATTCGAATAAGGTATATAATGTCTATGTTATAATTTTTAGTTTATGTGCGCCTATATGCTGTAAGGATTATTGAAAAGAATATTTTAATCTCTCATTACGTGTCTTTCGAAATTTTACTTGTTGATTACTTTGTTATGTAATAGGCTTGGGTTTTATTTTAACTATTTAATATTATTTACTATTATATATAAATATAAACAATTAAGTATTTAAAATCATGTATTAAACTTTGTAATCAAATCAATATTCTTCTAATCTATATTTTTTATAATTCTATACACTGATCACTCTTTTTATAAATCTATCTATATTAAATTAACGATAATGTACAGAAATATAAAATTTATTACATTTATTTCAGCACAGTTAAGTATTGTTTAATTTCAATATTTTACTGAATAACTTTTTAATATTTTAATGTTTTATTTAAGAAATTCTTATATTTTTTATGCTAATACCACAAAAAAGCCTCATATTTTATTTTTGTATTGCAAGCATAAAATAATTTACTTCTTGAGTATATTTCGCTGTTCGTTCAATATTCTTACAGTCTGTAATTTTCTATAGTTGCTAAAAATATAATGTCTCACTCACTCGATAAAGACTATCAGGGGTCGATAAACGTTTTGTTATTTTCACCACGAGATGACATTACATTGCAATTCTCACCGAATTCAAAACATAAATACAACAAATTGTCATTACTTACGAGTTGAAATTTGCACGACTATTTTTCGCACATTTCATTGTGAATGTTTCATCAGTGTACAGCAATCGAGGTTCCTTGTAATATGAATGAGGTATGTAATATCTACATTAATAATTTCTAATTTATTGTTTGTGATACGGCATTATGTTTATCGAAAGTTACTTCCTAATCTCTTATTTTGCATTATGTGTTTTTTGATGTTTTACGCTAATTATTTAGCTATGTGATGTGCCCAGTTTTGGTTTTAACTGCTTGATGTTATTTACAATTATCTATTACAATTATATATTGACTGTAATTATAATTTAGCTCTGTATTAAATTACGCGCAAAACAAGTTATTATTTATTTATTCATTGTTGTTTGATTTCTTTGCAATGTATATTTTTCTATAGATACTGGGATATCAATAACATCTCACTCATCTGGTAAATAAAGAACGATAAATGTTTCGTTCTACCGTGAGATGACGCTACATCTCATTGCTTGCAACGTTCAAAATATGCAATTAGTTATCGCAAGTTGTAATTCGCGCACATATTTTTCGTATATCTGATCGTGAATTTATATGGATCGTTTGTGGAAAGCCTGTCATGAATGTACACAAACGGAGTCGATATTCCTGATTATACGAATAAGGTACGTGACGTTTATATTATATTTTCTAATTTAATGTTTATGATACGATGTAATGTTCATCGAAAAGAACTTCCTAACCTTTCATTTTGCCGTTACGTGTTTTTTGAAATTTTGCGCTTGCTATTTAACTATGTAATGTGCCCAATTTTGGTCTTGATTAATTGATTTTATTTACAATCATCTACTACAATTATATATTGATTGTAATTATATTTGAAATCATATGTTTTTGGTTCACTAATCAAATCTATGGCTATCTAATATAGCTATCTAATATAGCTATCTCTCTAAACATAATTTAATAGCTGTACATATTTTGTGATTACTCTTCATAATTATTTATTAAGTGAATAACAATGTACAGCAATATAATTTTATTGCATCTATTTACGCAGAGTTTATTGCTACATAATATTTTAATAACTCAATACTTTGTTTAAAAAGTAATTCATATTTTTGTATATTAGATTATGCGTAAAACAAGTTATTATTTATTTATTTATTGTTGTTTGATTTCTTTGCAATGTATATTTTTTTATAGATGCTGGGATATCAGTAACATCTCACTCATCTGGTAAATAAAGGACAATTAATGTATTGCTCTGCCGTCAGATGACGCCACTTGTAACGTTTAAACTATTCAATTGGTTATTTCAAGTCGCAATTCGCGCGTATATTTCTTGCATATCTCATCGTGAATTTATATGCATCGTTTGCGGAAAGCTTGCCCTGAATGTAAGCGAATGGAGTCAAGATTCCTGATTATACAAATGAGGTACGTGATGTCTATATTATATTTTCTAATTTAGTGTTCGTGATACGGCATAATGTTCGTCGAAAAGAACTTCCTAACCTTTTATTTTGCCGTTACGTGTTTCATGAAATTTTACTTGTTGATTATACTGCTACATAATATGCTCGATTTCAATTTTGATTATTTGATATCACAATCATATACTGTAGTTATCTGAAATCATGTAATGTACGTTATGATCAAAATGATCAAAATAATTTTGTCATAATACAATGACTATACTAACTGACCTTTACTCTTGCAATGATTTTTACTTTTTATAATTATCTGTTATGTTAATGACACATTGGCTACACCGGAGTTAATGCCTAGAATAATAATGAAAATTGGAATTGGACACACTTTGTAGTAGAGTGACTAATGTCAAGTTTTAATAAATTGCATAATGACAACATAACAAAAATTTGGAATGCTTTTTTTGATGAATATAAATATCATGAATATCATAAATTACACATTACGATGGAATGGATTATGGAAATATGACAATTATTACATATACTTTATTATCTATTGCATAAATTTTTTTATTTCTTAAAAATGCCTTGCACTTTTCTTTTACATAGTATTATTTACATAACATTTGTTCAACAAATTCTATTTTATGTTTAATATCTTTGCAAATGGTATATTTTTATATTATATTATGATTATAATCTTTTATAATTATATTGATAATATAACATTATATTTAGCCGGTAAGCGAAATACAATGAATGTTTTATTCTGGCGCAAGATGACGCTACATCATAATGTTACTAAGAAAATGTATAACGGTTATTAATCATTGCATGTTGCAATTCGCGCGCATATTTTTGGACTCTTTGTTATAAAGTTATATTAATTGTTTATGGTGCCGAAAACAATGCAGAAGTCGAGATTTCTGATAATGCGAATGAGGTATGTGATAGCTTCATCGTAATATATAATTTATAGTGCTTATATTGCGATGTTTATGATATTTGTGTTTGTGAAGAACGCAATCTAACCTCTCTTCTTATCATTACGTGTTTATTGAAATTTTACGTAATTAACTTATTAATTAACTTGCTATGATGTGTCTTGTTTCAATTTTGATTACTTTTGGATGCCATTTACCATATACCACTGCAATTACATATTTGAAATTATATATATTATGTTTTACGTAATTTTACGTAGTTTTACGTAATTTAGCAATTTTTTAAAGTACAACATACCAATGAATAGATTAATTTACGTTATTTTTTTTTAATAAGAAGTTTTGCCTTTTTTTTTAATTTGCCATTTACATTTAAAATTTTTGTTATTTTTGATTAATCGCTAAATAGTTTTGATCCATAAATCATCTTGCAATATTAATATTATATTTGTTCGTATTATCATAAAGTAATATAAAATAATTTTTATTTTACGAATAATAAGTGTAATATCATTGATTCACTAATATAATATCTATCTCTTATTTATGATAAAATAATGATCCGACGGAAGCTGCGAAGCATCCTTCCGTCTTACCGAGAATCCTGTAATCCCTCCTGCAATCCTTTTGCGTCCACGAGCGCGACTTTCACTTTTCCTTCTCCGATGCGTCTAACCAAGCGGCGGCG